GGGAGGGAGGGAGGGAGGGAGGGAGGGAGGGAGGAAGGAAGGAAGGAAGGAAGGAAGGAAGGAAGGAAAGAAGGAAAGAAGGAAAGAAGGAAGGAAGGAAGGAAGGAAGGGAGACAGCAACTTAATTGTAACCCATTTCATACACACGGGATATTCACTATGATGGTTCTTTCTTGCCAAAAGGAAGGGGTAAGGGTAGGAGGGAGAATTAAAAGAAATTGTCCAAGGAATTTGCCAGAGGAACAGGCAAAAATCTTAGCTGTTTATTGACTGGTAGGCACTGAAGAAGGCTGGCAAGATGGCTCAGCCTGCAAAGGCTTACCACCCAGCCTGAGGAGCTGAGTTCAATCCCCAGGCCCCACACGGTGGAACTGGCGAGAGCTAACTCCCACACATTGTCCTCTCACTTCACACATGGCCTGTGGCGTGTGTGGTGTGGGTGGGAGGTGGATGTGGGTGAGCATGCACGTGCGCACACACACACACACACACACACACACACACACACACACACACACACAATTTAATTTTAAAAATGTAAAGAAATACGTCAGTGATATGAACTGAAAAGAGAAGGTTATTTTGGTAGAAGTGGTCCCGTTGCAGCCTGCCTGTGGATTTACCTATATGTTTATGTAGGATAAAAATTCTAAAGAGACACATGGTCAACTGTTATGTAGATCAATACGCAGAAAATTTTGCTAAGTAAAATGATAGATAATGACCAAGAGCTTCGGAAACTGCCCCGTTCAGGGACCGCTCCACACAGACGTAACAGCATCTGGTGATCCTGTACACACTGTCCACTCCCACACTGGTCCCTTACCCTCTTAAATATCCGGTCGATGTTGTCGAACTTCTTGGCCTCCTCTGGCAGCTGGGACCGTATGTCCCCACCGATGAAGATACTCTCCAGGTACATCCACTTCCTCTGAACTAGCATCCAGATCTGAAAATGCACCATGTCACTGTCACAGGGTGACAAGGTACCCCGGAGACACAGGCCAAATCCCGCCCCCCCAACCCACAACTCATCCAAGTCAGCTCAGTCAATGCAAGGATTGTCGGGCCAAGTAACACCGTGTGTAGAGACATGGCCACCACCCTCCCTGCCCCAAGTACCCAGGCCTCCTGAATGTTCACTTTTGCTTTCTGGAGTTTTGGTTAACTGTGGTCAGCAGGAGTCCAAAAATAGTAGTTCAGCAGCTACGCAGAGAGAGAGCGCGTGTTCACGCAGCCCTGAGACGCTGCTGTCTCAAGTGCTCTATGCGTTAATAGTCACTGTGGCCGGCTTCTAGGCAGACTGGATTTGTAAATAGACTTTGCCACAGGTGTATATGTGTACTGGGAAACAGTCACACAAAGTTCGGTACTATCTGGGTTCTGGGCATTGTCGGGACCTCTCAGGACAGATCCCTGGCGAGTTGGGAGTTACCATGCAGGAATGCAGCATTTTAGAGGACACAGCTCTATTCAAAAGCAAAATAACACTCCCCATCCAGTCTTGGGTGGAGACGATATGTCCAGTTACGTGCAGAATTTGGAGGTCTGTGACCCACAATGATCGATGCAGAAACCCGTGTTCACAAGAAGCTACACGCCACCTACTCAGCCATTCTGCTTCTAGATATGAACCCCAAAGAAGGGACAACAGAGACTCAGATGCAGCGTATTCAGGAACTCTTCTGGTGGCGTTTCTGTAACACCCAGGAGGTAGGAGCAACGCAGATAGCCATCAGGTGATGACCAGGTTCATCAGGTGATGATACCAAAGGTGGTATCGCCATAAACAGAGTATTATTTAACCACGAAAAGGAGAGAAGCAAGGACAGATGCTACCGTGTGGACGAGCCTTGGGTGTGATTTCACACACACGAAACATACGGAGTAGACTGATTTAGGGAAATAGAAAGCAGATGTGTGGTTACCGGGGACCGGGGAAGTGGGAGCTGGGAAATGATCGCTTGGGAGTTTTCTTTTATAGTGTCGAGAAAGCGTTGGGACCAAATGGAGGCAGAGTTTGTACAACACAAATGCTCTAAAGACCCCCCACACACACCTGCGTGTGCATGCTGAAATGGTTAATTTGGTTGGTGAGGTGGCTCAGTTCAGAAACTTCCCACGGCTCAAGCACAAAGATATGTGTTGAGCTTCTCTCCCCCACCCCCCACTGCCCAGTCCCTTACCCACGTAAAAGCCAGGCATAGCAGGATGCTTCTGCAACCCCAACACTGAGAGGGTGGAGACAGGAAGATCCCTGGAGTTCCCTGGCCAGCCAATCAGAGAGCTCCAGGTTCAATGAGAGACTGTCTCAAAAAGAAAGGTGAAGCCAGGCTCGGGAGCACATGACTTTAGTCCCAGCCCCCAGGAATCAGAGGCAGGCAGATCTCTGGGTTCTAGGCCAGCCTGGTCTACAGAACAAGTTCTAGAACAGTCAGAGTTATGTAGAGAGACTTTGTCTCTAAATAGATAGATAGGTAGGTAGGTAGGTAGGTAGGTAGGTAGACAGATGATAGATAGATAGATAGATAGATAGATAGATAGATAGATAGATAGATAGATAGATAGATAGATAGACGGACAGACAGATAGATAGTGAGGTGGAGAGAGGTAGAGAGAGCCATGATGTCAAGCTCTGGCCTCCATACACATCTGTGCACGCATGCGCATGTACCCTCACATACCGGTGCCCACACATACAAATACATACAGATACCCACACACAAAAATATAAAACAAGGGGCCAGGCGGTGGTGGTGCACACATTTAATCCCAGCACTCGGGAGGCAGAGGCAGGCGGATCTTTGTGAGTTAGAGGCCAGCCTGGTCTACAGAGCGAGATCCAGGAAAGGTGCAAGGCTACACAGAGAAACCCTGTCTCAAAAAAAAATATATATATATATATAAAACAAAATGGCCAATTTTACATTACCTAAAATTTATCTCAATAAATGTTGTTTAAATCATAAAGAAGATGGCAGGAGAGATAGCTCAGTGGTACAGAACTTACCTAGCACACACGAGGCCCTAGGTTCAATCCCCTGAAACACACACACACACACACACACACACACACACACACACACACACACACACCACTACCACCACCAACAAAACTATGCCCTACCAAAGAGCTTTCACAAGTAAAGAGTCACAGGCAAAAACAAGCACAGCAAGTCAAGGGTGTTCAGGCATGATAGGAACAGGGACAGGATCATAATCCATTGCCCGATAACCAGGATCTCAATGAGAAAATATACTTGTCTATAGTCTGGGGGAGGAAAAAAAATCATCCACCCAGAAATAGTGAACTGAGCCCGATTGATCTAGTTTGTCCACACAGGCCTGACTGGTCACCACCCAGTATGACAGGCCCAGCTGGAGAGACTACAAAGGCAGGCAACAAAGTGAATCAAGAATGGGGAGAAAAACTTTAGGTGGGATGAACTAAGGGAAAATTGAATCACGTGGAGAGGGCTACCTACACCACAACAGTCAAATCATAAAAGGACTTTAACATAGACATGTATACAGTTTTCAGTGTTGAACACATAGGTAGTGAAAGCACTGCATATATGCAACAAGAACAGGAGGCATGGAAACAAGAACAGGGACACTTTAAAAGGCCAAATGGGAATCTTAGACATTAAAAATGCATTCCTTGAAATCAAAAGTCTCCAATCTCTCCATCGATGTACTTCCCCCTCCCCCACCACCACCACCTAAATCAAGAGCCGTGACACAGTCATTCATTTCTAAGCACACATGTCCCCATATGACATTCCCACAGGAATTAGCGGCACATTTCCCATCTGCTCTGCTCTCACCTCGATGACCTCCCCGATCAGAGACAGCGTTTTTTCCCACTTATGGACAGTTTGCAGAAAAGGCCCCACGAATCTGCTCCCGGAGATGCTCTGCAAGTTGACGGTGTTGTCATCCAAGGACTGGATGATGTCGTCCACGGACCCTAAGATGTAGCCTCGCTCCTGCGTGCCCTTGTAATACTTGACCACGGTGAACTTCATGTTCTCCCAGGTGTCCAGGATTTCCTTCACGGCCTGGTTGGGAAAGAGAAGAACGCAGCTGGCCCCACAGACGGAAAGAGCATGGCCCTGAGCCAGCAGCTTCCTCCCCAGGGTGTCCTCGGGCAGCAACTCAACCGGGGGTCCAGCTCCGACATCTGAGAGGTCGAGATTCTCCTCAGCAACAGTGCTCCCTGCCTACCAGGGATGTGCTCTACCAGGCAGGCAAGCATGGTACATGTGGGATCTCCTCTGACCCCCACCCCAAAAAAAGAGACTGCCGTACAGAGATAGGCTCAGAGAGGCCGCACGCTGTGCCACACGTGATGCCGAGTGCCAAAACTGGGTTCTCAGATGTGCGGCTCCCGATGTAACAAGGGAGTCCTCCTGCCTCTGCTCGCCCCCCAACCGCTGAACAAGAAAGTCCCAGTATAAAATGCCAGGCCTACTATGATTCTATTCTCTGAAGATACCTGCAATGATATGTGCTCATGTGCATATCTATATGTAGATTTTTTTTTTCAGAGCTGAGGACCGAACCCAGGGCCTTGCGCTTGCAAGGAAAGTGCTCTACCACTGAGTTAAATCCTCAACCCCAGATGTTTATAAGTATGTGTGATTTCATCTCTAGTGAGACAGGCTCCTGGGTGTGCCTTTGAGGGATTATCTTAATTAGATTTAAAAAAAAAAAAAAAAAGATCCACCCACTATGGGCGGCCCCATTCCCTAGGCTGGGGACTTGGACTGAATACAGAGGAAAAAGCGAGCCGGGCACCAGCATCCCTCTCCACGTCTGCAGATGCAATATGACCAGCCGCCTCACGCCCCTGCCGCCGCCATGCCTTCCACGCCATGGTGGATGGTTCCGTCAAACTGTGATCCACAATGAACCCTTTCTTCCTTAAATAGCTTTTATAGGAGTATTTTTTCACAGCAGTGAAAAATATAGCTAAGACAATATCCATACACATTATGTGTATGTATTTGTTTGCAGGTGTGTATATGAGTGTGAACACATGTATTGCATGTGTGTACAACATGGCATGTGTTTTGTGCATATACGGATGGATGTGTCCACATGTGTCACATGTCCACACAACTTCTAGCTTTCTGTTAATATTAGTTGTGCAAAATGGGGCTCACACAGCATCTTCTTGCACTCACTTTGACCTTGGACTTGCGTCTTAAGCAAGGAGCATCGTCAAGTAGGACGTTAACAATGACTGTCTTCGAGTGTCCAGGCTGTGGGTGATTTGCTTATTTTTAATTTTTTTTGCAAAGGATGCCCAGTTCTTAATCAGTAAATAGAATTTGAAACTGTAATCAAGGAGGGCATAAGAAAAAGTAAACTGAGGCAGAGGTTCTATTTACTTAAGATACCAGAGACAGTGTGTTTCCTGCTTAGGGAAATGACAGCCTTGGCTGGGAGTCGTGGAGCCTTCCTGCGATCCCAGCACTCGGGAAGCTGAGGAAGGGAGATCGTGAGTTCAGGACCAACCTCGGCTGAAAGGTAAAACCCCATCTCAACGAACCGAAGACGGCAGAGCGGCAGCCCCGAGACCCAAGGCTCTCCTTCCCTACCTTCTCAATGGCGACCTCCTTGACAGCCGCCGTGACAATCTCGTTGAGTACTTCCGTGTGGCTGTGCAGCTCCATGGCGAACATATTCTCCAGAGTGAAGGTCTCTGTCATCTCAAAGAACACGCCTGTTTTCTCCATGAGTTCTTTCCAGTGTCTGGAAGAAGGTAGAACCGTTCATGATCACCGCCCCAGCCAAGGAAGAGCCCGGCTTAATGGTTCCCACTGACGTCACAGGAGGGGGCCCCATGGGAGAACCTCCACAGTGGCATGGGACAGCCCGGGATGATACTGCCGAGTTCTTCCAAATCCTCTTTTTGATCAACGGACCAAGTTACCCTAGGGAGAACAGCAGCAATCCTATTCAAGAGTCCATATTGAGCCAGGTGGCGGTGGCGCACGCCTTTCATCCCAGTACTCAGGAGGCAGAGGCAGGCGGATCTCTGTGAGTTAAGAGGCCAGCCTGGTCCACAGAGCAAAATCCAGGAAAGGCACCAAAACTACACAGAGAAACCCTGTCTCAGGAAAAAAAAAAAAAAAAAAGGTTCGGTCCTCAGCTCAGAAAAAACAAAACGAGTCCATGTTGACGATTAGGGTTTACGACCTCGATGTTGGATCAGGACATTTCAATGTATTATAGCTGCTATTAATGGTTTGTTTGCTCAATGATTAAAGTCCTACATGATCTGAGTTCAGACCAGAGTAGTCCAGGTCAGTTTCTATCTATTTATGATTTCTCCCAGTATGAAAGGATAAGATAAATGGGGCCTTACCCAAAGCACCCCAAACCAATGTATGAAATAATCTCAGCTTTGTAAATCCATACCAAAACTACCCCAGACAAGGGTAAAATTGGGGTGGCAGAGTCAGGAAATTGCATAAGACTTAAAACCTTGGTCCCCGGGGTGTGTGTGTGTCAAATCCTCTCCCTAATAGTGTATTTTATTAACATCTTTACGCTTTTAATTCCTATTCTAATTCCTATCGCATTTCTCACCCTAGTAGTATGGAAAAGTCTGGCTACATACAACTACGAAAAGGACCCAATATCATAGGGCCCTACAGCATCCTACAGCCATTTGCAGATGCAATAAAACCTTTTATTAAAGGATCCCTACACACCCTAGCCACTTCAACATCTTGATTCATCCTCGCCACTCCACTATCTCTCACTTAGCAAGCCAACGAATCCCTCTACCCACACCTCATCCCCTAGTTAACCTAAACATAGGAATTCTCTTCATCCTCGCTATCTCCAGCCTCTCCGGCTATTCTATTCTACGACCAGGCTGAGCCTCCAACTCAAAGTACTCCATATTCGGAGCCGTCATCCAAACAATCTCCTAGGAAGTAACAGCAGCAAGTATTTAACTCTCTCTTCTCCTAATAAACAGACCCTTCTCTCTCCAATCCCTAATCTTGCCGGGCGTTGGTGGCGCACGCCTTTAATCCCAGCACTCGGGAGGCAGAGCCAGGCGGATCTCTGTGAGTTCGAGGCCAGCCTGGGCTA